GGAAGCAAAATAATACAAAAAAATATGAAATACAAACTAAATAGTTCAATGTTTGATCAACAGCATACAGAATGTAGTTATATAGAAGAGCTTCCTTATTTGTAACCAATTAACTTGTTATTGTTTAGGGGGTTATTTATTCGTTTTCTCGTCTGGTTGGGTTTATAAATAAAAATAAACATTTATATATAAATATTATATATAATACAGAAATAAATAGGACCCAACCAGACGGAAGCCCTCGGCAGGGGAGACCACACGGCCGAGGGCTAGGGCGAAAGGGAGAGAAACCAGCGGACAATACGGGCGGTATCGAGGAGCACCGCTTTCTGCATTTCAGCTTGCAGCGATCCGTCCCGGCTGACTGGAATTAACCCATTCGCAGAAACGACTATCGGGATAATTTCGGTCGACACACCACCCCTTATGTCGGTCACCTCGTGAGCCAGGTCCAGATATTTATTATTAATATTTGCATATTATATAGTAACAGTAGGTAAACTCAAAGGTAAGTGACGATATAGAAAAAATAAAATTACTGCTGTTTCGTTTTACAGATCAAGCTTTAAATGACTGTAGAGGCACGGGTCAAGAATGAAATAAGGACGTGAAACAATCCCGACCAATTAATACTTCAAAATATTAGTAACATCAATAAATTTAAATTGATGCTAAACGCAATAGAATATATAGGCATTTCACTCAAAAATGCGTATTGTTCTTATAGTGACACTACAATAGCAAAGGGCCATTGGCAATTACAGCTATCAGGAAGGAGCGAGGTGGTGTCTGGCCACCAGGAAACCAATTGATCTGGGAAAACATATTTTCGATAGTCAGTGTGAAATAAAGACCATCAACTTTTACTAAATGCCACGGAATGATGAGTAACATCAATTCGCTTTCAAAAGGACGTGTTCAATACCCGGATGACCTGTTGTTTATTGAAGGTTATTGAAAAGTAATGGCGGATAATTTTAAAGTTTCCTGACAGGAACGAAAGTTCACTCTTTATTTTAGGCACTGTATACTGTAGCGGGTAGCCTAATAAAGTGACCATGAAGACGTTTTGGGGCCGCCCTAATAATCCGCCGCTGAATGCGACCATACAACAAAGTAAAATCAAAAAGTAAACTATGATCTATATCAAAGAGCTCGTGACGAGAAAAATCTGTATGTAGTAAGGATTAAAATTAACCTAATTTTTAAAGAAGTTTTGCAAATACAAGAAAACACATCACTCAAAGAGTCGTTGTTCGAAACGTATAGGTACTTAACTTAGCCTATCCGCTAGCTGAACTCACAATTCGTCTGAAGTTTTAGTGCTGAGTTTGTGCTAGAAGATTTAATTGGATCGTTTTTAGTTTAAGTTTAATTTTTCTATCAGAAATCATGTCCAAGCCGTTGTATACTTCCTTATACAAAAAATATATTATATTGTGTATGCCCTGATACCCTCTGTACAGAGGAGGCCTTTGCCCAGGCTGTTACTTTACATTGCTTTACTTTATACAATTGTTTGAATATAGTAATAATATTTCAGTTACTTGATTTGATTGATTTTATTAAAGTGAAAGCAAGCCTATATAAATGTACCACTGGTGGGGAAAGGCGTTCTGTTTACAATGTATGAAATATACATAATTTTTTTGATTTCGAAGAAATATTCAGGTTTCCTCACGATGTTTTCGTTTACCGATAAACATGCGGTAAATAAGAAAACGGAATTGGAATTAACATTTCTTTGGTGCCAGCGCCAATAAAATATGTTCATCATATGTTGAAGTTAATGGAGTTACGAGATTGAGTCAAGCCCCCATGGGCTACAGAATTTACTTATTTTTTTTTTAAAGCAAATTCACCGCCTCAAAATTTTACGGTATTGGAATATAACAGACGAATTTGGGTAACACCAAACGAGAAGTTTTTCTAACATAAGAATCCGTTTGGATCAAATGCAATAACTCAGCTTACATTCATTAATTCATTCTTTCTTTCATTCATTCATTCACGCATTCATTCGATTATCCGTCACGAGAAAACAAGTCATTCTGCATCTCGCGATGGATGCGAAATTATAAAACGACACATTCATAAATTCGTTCTTTATTTCATTCATTCGCGTGGTCATTCGATTATCCCACATGTCTTAAGAATACAAGTTATTCTGTTTCTCACGATGGCTGCGAAATTATAAAGCGAAGGAGCTCGATTTCATTCACCGATTCACTCATACACTCAATCACTCGATATTGCCGTTCAATCAAACGCTGTTAGCGCATTTCACACCATGTTATGTTGCCGCGTAACGAGTTCTTCCGGACCAGTGAGTACGTATAACAAACTATAAACACCGTTAACTCGGTCAGCCATAATCGTCGGAGAGATGCCTCTTAACTGTTTCTGTGCGATTCGTCTAAGCAGTATTACTTATCGAACGGCTTGTCTTTCGAAATACTTCTACTACGATTACTTAATAGTAATAATTTATTATCTAGCGACCCAGTAGCCTTATTACTGTCTTGTTGAAGTTCCTTGACGCTGCTTGTGGGACGTGTGTTATAAGAAATCGTCTCATAAAGGAAATGGGTCATGCCGTCATGCCGTCTCTTTCTAATACATGCTAAATAATCTAAAAAAACTGGCGTAGGGTCCGAGCGACCTTTTTGTTTAGTTTTTATTATATAATTTACAATTTGTAATCATTTTCGCTTAGTGGTAATATTGATTAATAATAATATTGTATGTACTATAGTTGTAATATCTTTTTCATTGCACATATACATTATTTGCATTGAAAAAATGATAGAAAATAAAATCAAGAAATCAATAATGATATAACACAAGTTAATGAAATACCGACCATACGAAGATCGCAAGCCGTACTATCTGGGATACTCGTCCTAATCTTTTTCCATCGAAATATTTCCACCAATCTTTACGAAAAGTTCAAATCGCCTGCATATTTTATTGCAGACCTTTTCTCCAATACGTAATAAGGTAAAAGAGAGTCGAATGACAGTAGCTCTAACAAAATAAGCCCTCACGACCTCGAGGGGTCAGAGGTTAAACCCAGTCATGATTTACGGTGGACCCGCCGCTGACTTAGTCGGTCAAGGATACAAATCTTACATAAGTTTCGAAGTCTCTCATAGAGGCAACTACTGTTAAAATAACATTAAATTCACTTCGCCAAACGGAATCTCATATCTAATGAATTTGATGTGAACTAATTGTCGACTCAGAGGTCATAAATCCACACTAATATTTATTAATATTATAAATGCGAAAGTATCTCCGTCTGTCTATCTCGCTTTCACGCCAAAACTAATGAACCGATTTAAATGAAATTTGGTACACAGATAGTCTAGAGCCTGAGAAATGACATAGGCAATTTTTTAATTGGAGAAAGGGTTATAAATGGTTCTTAAAGGGGAAAGATTTATTTAAAAGCTTCAACGCGAGCGAAGCCCAGGCGAAAAACTAGTAACGTCTAAAGTAAGTGTGCTCTGAAGAAAATTTTGTACGTGTTCAGCGCTACGCTTACGTAGAGTTCATTAATTACATTGTAAACAGAATTAGAATCAGGTTAACGATTATACACTATTATTTTAGCATTCTAAGTGGGCTATTACATAAATGATAGTATTATAAAATGATAGGCGCATAACCTCACGTTGGAGATAGGACTTGAAATTTAATTACATAAGAAGCGCACAATAATTCTAAATAGTTATCACATTGAATTATGCACTGATGTTGAAAATTTCTCAACGACTTTTGTCAATAGTTAAATCTGTATTAATATAATAAAGCTGAAGAGATTGTCTGTCTGTTTGTTTGTCTGGAATCAACGGCCAGATTTGAAAAAATCTTTTTACATTTGATAGTCCAATCCTTGAGGAAGGTTATAGGGTATTATCAAATTTAACATCAACCTACGACCTACGACAGCGAAGCAGAAACTGTTCTCGCAGATTAAATCGCATAGAACAGCTAGTACTCACACATGTGTATACAATTAAAATATGAAGCCGTTCCTATGGAATCCACGGGACCTAAGCAGGTGTGAACAGTCTATATGCTACCGTCAATCTTCTATAATTCTATCTATTAGCAATTTACTTTAGATCTACTGATAATTTCCACTTACTCATATACATGAAAAGGAAAATCAAATACAAGTTACAAATTTGCCCCTGCACTTAAGATGCTACACTTAAACTTGTTGAAAAAAATGGATGAAACGGCCCTTAATCTTAGCAGTCAAAGCGTCTGGGCACGATTCCGGAAGACTCGAGTTCGATTTCGCGGCGGCAAAAAATTAGTACTTGACAGTTGTCGCAATTTTTAAAATCAATCTTAAGGAGATTTGATAAAAACTCCGTTTTAAGTAGTTGATTTAACTCTGTACAGCAACAAAACGTAAGTAACCAAAGGTGCGGATGCCAGTGAAAGTTATGTTTTTAATAATATTCAGTCGAAATATATTATTGCATTGCATTATTTTATACAGCGTTATCTAATCCGTAATGAAATAAAGTTTGTAGTGCGTGAAATGATAAAATACTTAAAAAAGAACAAACAATAACTCTTCTGTACGTAGGTGCTCAGCACGAAAATTTATCCGTGGAGGCCTAGTGCTTGATTATTGATCACGAGTGCAGGTATTAGGTTCGAACCCGTTTACCGTTTAGTTTTTTTCAGTTACACAAAAGTTTGCCGTGTGTTCATTTGAAAAATTACGATTACTACAGTGTTTATTTGTTTAAATCTTACATCAGTAAGAAATATAAACAGGCTGACAACGGGGTCTTCTAGCAGTTAATGTTTTAAGTTGATGTTGTTGATTGGGAAGTATAGCAGGAAAGATGCAGTTGCATAAATTTAAGAACAACACAAAATTACTTTTGATTGGATTTTTTTAACTTACTAGTGGCATAGAGTAAAAAAATACAGTAAGTTCATATACTGTACCAGTATGCTTTAGTCTCACTTACCACATCTGCGAAAGTTGGGAAGCTTGAGTTCGAAGCTATGGCATCGTTAAGCAGCAACAGCAGTCCAAGAGCCAGCCACATGGTTAGCACAACACGTAAACATATCACAAACACTGCATCAACTTGGCCATCAACCAAATACGTTTAATGCATCCTATTTGGAAAGTATTTTGAGGCTCTAAAATACCGAATAAAATTATTTATTGAAATAAGTGACGCTGAGAAAAAGAAATAGTTTACGTCACCAGCATTATAACCGAAAAGAAAATACACCGGCTAAAAGCGTATGACAATGGTCGAAAAAAATTTAAATTAAAAAAAAAAATAATGAAAAATTAAAAAACAAAACATCCGATTTTCGGACGAAACAACGAGTGCGGCGTTTGGCGGCAAAATGTCCGTGTCAGCGCATGCGCGCCAGTGCGCCGCGCGAGCGTCATTGCCCAACGCGACGGTATCAAAGCGCGACCTTTGCGTATTACGGCTTATCCCCGAACGCGAATGCGTGCGGTGTATGCATAATTGTTTAAAATGTTGACAAACTTTCAAATTTGTCGCGGTATGTGCAGTTTGATTGCTTTCAGGTATTTCATGCTGTTCGCATGAATCACGAAAGAGCATTCAAAATGTTAGTTGTTGGCTGCCGTTTCACTCTCTTGGATTTTGATATCAGTGGCAGTAAAAGCCTAGAACCACGTACGATCTATTTTGCAGAAAAATTGCCTATAAGTTTAGACGCAAACCATTCTGTCCATTCGCTCTCATACCTGAAAAACGAACTAATTGAGTTTTTTCTTTTCCTTTTTGTGTATTATCATTGTACATAAATTTAAAATGTTTTTAGATATCCCAATAACTTAAATATAAATCCGTGTAATAAGTTAATTTCTCTTCCATCCTAATTGTATATAGAATAAATAAATAAAGCAAAGTTACAATAACCTTCACAAAAATTTTGAAAACTGGTTACGTTACAGCACCAGCGGTGTTCTTTACTTACATTAATATATGAAATTACACACAATATCAAGTTATTCATAAAAATATAATGTCTACTTTTACGTAATTAAGGGTTCTTTGCACCTTGCATTACGTATATGTCGTTCCAATTAATTTGTACTGCTTTTTATTATTAAACATAAAATCTTTACGATATGAAACCAATTAATAAAAACTTAAAAAGAATGCTATAGTGATTAGCGACTTCGGTACGTCGAAAACTTTACAAGTTGCGTAACGTTTTAAAAATACTTTTATACGACGATAAAGATATCTAAATGTATGTGAATTAAATTACAATAGAAGATATGCATAATAATAATTCAAGACTATTTAAGTGCGATGATAATTTAATATAAATAATTTGAACGACTCTGCCACACGCTTTGTTTCCGAATTTCCGTTGAACTTCCGGTTGTTTGATACGTCCAAACGAAATAAGATTGCAACCGATTCAACTAATAATCGGTTATAACTAACAAACAACAACTAACATTATAACAGGTTTTATGCTCAAAACAAAGTGGACTGAAATATTTCGGAACATGATAGAAGTCTAGTCTGATTGCTGATTTGTCACCTGCGATAATATTTATCAATGTAACATGTACATCGGTGCAATAAACAAAGTAATTTCACGATACATAAATGTTGTGCATTTTATGAGTTACCTTGTGGGTGAACAATTACACCTGCACTTAGAGACGCCATTTACCTTTAGAATACCATATAAAGTACATACCGAGCGGTCAATGTCACGGTCACTTTGGATAGGAGAGTCAGGTTGGTTTGGATCATTGACGGCACCTCTGTAAAGCATATGGAATACTGTTCTCATCTCTTGCCCGAGGCAACCCGAGACCAGCTCTTTCAACCATAGCATAACTCGAATTATCGATGACCAAGTCTTCTTCGATCGCCTCAAACCCTTGGCAATTAGATATGACGGGCCTCTTTGCATTTTCTGCCACATTTATCTCGGTGCTCTGAAAATTGTTATGTTCGGATAAATACCCGCTGTTAAAAGAGTTTCACCACTGTAGAAAGTCTTACAACTAAACTTAACTGTTGTAGGGCCACGCAATGGTGTTCACTGTTGCACGAATGGGCAGATCCGTCCGGGTAAGTACCACGATCTCACAGAAGATCGGCGTAAAGTAGAAGTGTTACACCTCTGCGTTTCGTCTGGTGATTGAGTTATCCAGGGCCCACTTTATTTAAAGGTGGCAACGCTTCTGCAACCCTCCGGGTGTTGCAAATGTCCATGGGCAGCGGTTATCACTTAACATCAGTTGTACCGCCAGCTCCTTTGCCACATAAAAAAAATACTATCGATGCCACCTTGATAGTTGGCAGTGCACCACCGTTCGTTTTCGCGCAAACCGCTACGTACAGCCTATTTGTTGAAGTTGTGGTCTTCAGTGGTAATTCTGCACCGATAAGCCTTAGGCCCCTTCAAGCATGGGGTCTATGCCTACATCGATAAACCTTAGGAAACTTCAAGAAGGGAGTATATTTCCACTTTTGTTTCTCTGGAGTTGCAAGTGGGTGACGTTGATCACATAAAAATGGTTCATTTGTGATGTTCAATATTATTGACACTTCGCTTAGCTAAAAAAAAGTGACATTTTAAAACATGATCAATAATCAGTAAAAACGGTCCCCATAATTTAATCATATAACCGAGAGGCGACATTCAAGAGCTGGTAGAGATTGTCATGTGTTAAATATGATAATAAATATATAGATTTCTATTTATATCTTTTAGTAAGCCATTATCTATAAGATAGCTATAATAAAAACCTTTTGGGACGGCGATTCGTGCATAATAATTATGTGCTCACGCATTTGTGCCACACAGTGACACGAGTCTTTTGTACGATACGCACACACATGCGTGACTGTTAGCTTAGGGTCCATCCAACTCGTAGCTATTTCAAGGATTCGGTATTTGATGTTGACGTTTTCTCGGTTACAGAAAGACTAATCATCGTAGAAATCAACTAATCAGTTGTCAAATGGCTTTTCAAATGCTATTTGCGTTGCCAAAAGGATTGTTGAACTCTCTGAATTGATCAGATTGATCTTCTCAATGATTAGAATGATCAATTCAAAGAGGTTCTGAATAGTTGACTGAGAAGTCTCTTTTCTTTACATAACGACCTCTGCAGTATCCTTGAGGAGATTACGTAATTTTTTACCAACAGCCACCAAAGTTGCTCTTGCTCAAAGTCTACTTCTCCCCATTCTCGACTATGCCGACGTCAGCTATCTGGATTTAACCGAGGAGCAACTTGATAAGCTTGAACGTATCCAAAATCTCTGTATAAGATTCATATTTGGCTTACATAAATTAAGTAGCCGCCCAAAAGCCGCCCATTGTACAACCCTTACATAATTGTTATTTTTAATGTATTCTTTTTACCATGGTGTGTGCAATAAAGAATATTCATTCATTCATTCAACGACATAAGAATAAGCTGTTTTTTACCGACTTAAAAAAAGAAGGAGGTTTCACAGTTCAAGCGTATATACATTTTTTTATATGTGTTCGCGGATAAATTCGTCGTTTATGAACGGATTTTGATGATTCTTTTTTCGTTGGAAAGGATCCCAAGGGTGGTATCATAAGGAAACCCGGATCTGATGATGGAATCCCAGAGAAATCGAGGTCAATCCTCAAATGTTATGGGTATTAACAATGTTTTTTAGTTTCCGGTTTGAAGTTGATTTTTTTTTTGTTAAAAATTATTATTTGATTCCACTTCGAACTGGACCAGTGAGATAAGTATGCTAAATGAATGCATATAAAAACCATCACAAGAGCTGTTCCGCTTAATGTTAAAACGGTGTATTCGAACTTAACGAAACAGATTAAGTCTTGTTTCGGTGAAAGCGATCTCGTCGAGTGCGGTGTAGTAACCGCAACTCGAGATATTATTTTGATATGAAATACGCTTTATAGAATAGTACTCGTATTTAATAAATACTTTAGACAGTCCTTCAAATACACTATATTCGATAAACCCAACCGATTCTGGCTTGCAACAGCTGCGAATACAGCTTGACTGGGGAAGTACGCCGACCTCGCAGAAGACCGCGTGAATAAGTATTTATACTATTCCGTCGCGTCCGGTAAGATAACAGGGGCGGCACTCTATAAACGGTTACCATCGGTATACATCGATGCGCTGATCACTTATCAACAGTGGCCAACATATGTAAAAAACGTGTGTGTGCTCAAGTTATGCTTCTGTAACGTAACACAAGTATTTTTTTTTTTACTAACGAAAAACAAAACCGACCTCAAATATCTCGCTCTGTATTCATTTTATAATTGATTTTCAGGACTTCCCTACGTATCACCGGAGCCCAAGATCCAATACCAATGAAATTAATATGAGACCACATGGGAAGCGCCAGCTTTCAATTTAAAAAAGTATCGTCAAAATCTGTTCACTCAGTTGAAAGTTCTGAGGTAACAAACATAAAAATACAGTCGAATTTAGAATTCCCTCCGTTTTAGAAGTCGATTGCAAGGTAAAATAACTTAAAAGTTTATCCCTTGCGCCAGTACTCTTTTGTTGTGAAAAAGACACTAAATGAAATTGTTAGCGGTTTAATTAAGTATACTTGGAATTATAGGTAAACTGGCTGGTGTCCTTTAATTCTTCTCCAGGGTGCTTATTTTCTTCTCCAGGGTCCTATTTATCTTTTTACCCAAATTCATCAATTCTGCGGTTTAAGTAGTGAAGGCGTAACAGACAGACAGGGTTACTTTGTCTTTTATACGCAATGAACAGAAATGATTACAAGACATAATGATCTACACTTACTTAATATCATCCCTTTCTGGGATATTCTGTAGTTATAACTATTCTTTCTTTGTCCCCTTTTTTTACTAAGATATTCTTTGAGTAGTTCATCTTTAACAATATCACCAAAATTACGTATTAAAATAGTGTAAATTGGAGGTAGTCTACTTATGATGCTAATGGCTTGGAAGAACATTAGTTAAGTTACAGCTCATTTACTTTCGGCCTACCTAAACTCGAACCACTCTTTCGGCAAAACGGGCGGCA